TCTTTGAGACAAGCATATCAGTACTGGCAGGACAACCAAATAGCTGCGACAGCTGCGCACGGCCCCCTCAGGCAGCCTGGCGCGCTCCTTTGCTCTACCCGAGGTTTCCATCCTCGCTGAGCTCACCTTAGGACACCTGCGTTACACCTTGACAGATGTACCGCCCCAGTCAAACTCAAACTCAATGCATGTATTAGCGCTGAATTTACCACAGTTATCCACTTCGCTTACGAGACTTAATAAACCAAGGCTGATTTAAAAAGAGCTCACCTTAGGACACCTGCGTTACACCTTGACAGATGTACCGCCCCAGTCAAACTCACTCTTTGAGACAGCATATCACTACTGCAGGACAACCAAATAGCTGCGACAGCTGCGCTCGCCCCCTCAGGAGCCTGGCGCACTCCTTTGCTCTACATGAGGTTTCCATCCTCGCTGAGCTCACCTTAGGACACTGCGTTACACCTTGACAGATGTACCGCCCCAGTCAAACTTAAACTTATTGCATGTATACATAACAATGCGACCGTTCTGCTAGCCCAAAAAGTGCTCAAGCAGACGCTCGATCGAGCGCCTACTACATATTAGTCGAGACAACGGCTCGCTCATTAGAATCGTCTTTGTACTTAAACATTTTTTTGGCTCTGCCGCTCTCGACACCGATGCGACGCTTCTGTCGCGACGCTGCACTCTCTCGCTCGCCTGACTTAGGCACAAGTCGTTCAAAGATACCATCCTCGTTGAGGTCATCTTAGGACAGCTGCGTTACACCTTGACAGATGTACCGCCCCAGTCAAACTCACTCTTTGAGACAAGCATATCACTACTCGCTCATTAGCATCGTCTTTGTACTTTAACATTTTTTTGGCTCTGCCGCTCTCGACACCGATGCGACGCTTCTGTCGCGACGCTGCACTCTCTCGCTCGCCTGACTTAGGCGCAAGTCGTTCAAAGATACCATCCTCGTTGAGGTCATCCTAGGACACCTGCGTTACACCTTGACAGATGTACCGCCCCAGTCAAACTCACTATTTGAGACAAGCATATCACTACTGGCAGGTCACCAAATAGCTGCGACAGCTGCGGTCGGCCCCTCAGGCAGCCTGGCGCGCTCCTTTGCTCTACCGAGGTTTCCATCCTCGCTGAGCTCACCTTATGACACCTGCGTTACACCTTGACAGATGTACCGCCCCAGTCAAACCCACTCTTTGAGACAAGCATATCACTACTGGCAGGACAACCAAATAGCTGCGACAGCTGCGCTCGGCCCCCTCAGGCAGCCTGGCGCGCTCCTTTGCTCTACCCGAGGTTTCCATCCTCGCTGAGCTCACCATAGGACACCTGCGTTACACCTTGACAGATGTACCGCCCCAGTCAAACTCACTCTTTGAGACAAGCATATCACTACTGGCAGGACAACCAAATAGCTGCGACAGCTGCGCTCGGCCCCCTCAGGCAGCCTGGTGCGCTCCTTTGCTCTACCCGAGGTTTCCATCCTCGCTGAGCTCACCTTAGGACACCTGCATTACAACTTGACAGGTGTACCGCCCCAGTCAAACTCAATGCATGTATTAGCTCCAGATTTACCACAGTTATCCACTTCGCTTACGAGACCCAATAAACCAAGGCTGATTTAAAAAGAGCTCACCTTAGGACACCTGCGTTACACCTTGACAGATGTACCGCCCCAGTCAAACTCAAACTCAATGCATGTATTAGCGCTGAATTTACCACAGTTATCCACTTCGCTTACGAGACCTAATAACCAAGGCTGATTTAAAAAGAGCTCACCTTAGGACACCTGCGTTACACCTTGAAGATGTACCGCCCCAGTCAAACTCACTCTTTGAGACAAGCATATCACTACTGGCAGGACAACCAAATAGCTGCGACAGCTGCGCTCGGCCCCCTCAGGCAGCCTGGCGCACTCCTTTGCTCTACATGAGGTTTCCATCCTCGCTGAGCTCACCTTAGGACATCTGCGTTACACCTTGACAGATGTACCGCCCCAGTCAAACTTAAACTTATTGCATGTATACATAACAATGCGACCGTTCTGCTAGCCCAAAAAGTGCTCAAGCCAGACGCTCGATCGAGCGCCTACTACATATTAGTCGAGACAACGGCTCGCTCATTAGCATCGTCTTTGTACTTTAACATTTTTTTGGCTCTGCCGCTCTCGAAACCGATGCGACGCTTCTGTCGCGACGCTGCACTCTCTCGCTCGCCTGACTTAGGCGCAAGTCGTTCAAAGATACCATCCTCGTTGAGGTCATCTTAGGACACCTGCGTTACACCTTGTCAGATGTACCGCCCCAGTCAAACTCACTCTGTGAGACAAGCATATCACCACTGGCAGGACAACCAAATAGCTGCAACAGCTGTGCTCGGCCCCCTCAGGCAGCCTGGCGCGCTCTTTTGCTCTACCCGAGGTTTCCATCCTCGCTGAGCTCACCTTAGGACACCTGCATTACACCTTGACATATGTACCCCCCAGTCAAACTCAAATTCAATGCATGTATTGCTCCACTTCCGGCGACAGCTGCGCTGGGCCCCCTCAGGCAGCCTGGGGCGCTTCTTTGCTCTACCCGAGGTTTCCATCCTCGCTGAGCTCACCTTAGGACACCTGCATTACAACTTGACAGGTGTACCGCCCCAGTCAAACTCAATGCATGTATTAGCTCCAGATTTACCACAGTTATCCACTTCGCTTACGAGACTTAATAAACCAAGGCTGATTTGAGTCATTTGCAGTTTCGCTTTAAGAGTTACTCGTACTTCCATCCTTGGCTCGTGGCTTCCATCCTTGGCTCGTGGCTTCCATCGTCGCTGAGCTCACCTTAGGACACCTGCGTTACAACTTTACAGGTGTACCGCCCCAGTCAAACTCAATCTCAATGCATGTATTAGCGCTAGATTTACCACAGTTATTCACTTCGCTTACGAGACTTAATAAACCAAGGCTGATTTAAAAAGAGCTCACCTTAGGACACCTGCGTTACACCTTGTCAGATGTATCGCCCCAGTCAAACTCACTCTGTGAGACAAGCATATCAGTACTGGCAGGACAACCAAATAGCTGCGACAGCTGCGCACGGCCCCCTCAGGCAGCCTGGCGCGCTCCTTTGCTCTACCCGAGGTTTCCATCCTCGCTGAGCTCACCTTAGGACACCTGCGTTACACCTTGACAGATGTACCGCCCCAGTCAAACTCAAACTCAATGCATGTATTAGCGCTAAATTTACCACAGTTATCCACTTCGCTTACGAGACTTGATAAACCAAGGCTGATTTAAAAAAAACTCACCTTAGGACACCTGCGTTACACTTGACAGATGTACCGCTCCAGTCAAACTCACTCTTTGAGACAAGCATATCACTACTGGCAGGACAACCAAATAGGTGCGACAGCTGCGCTCGGCCCCCTCAGGCAGCCTGGCGCACTCCTGTGCTCTACCCGAAGTTTCCATCCTCGCTGAGCTCACCTTAGGACACCTGCGTTACACCTTGACAGATGTACCGCCCCAGTCAAACTTAAACTTATTGCATGTATACATAACAATGCGACCGTTCTGCTAGCCCAAAAAGTGCTCAAGCCAGACGCTCGATCGAGCGCCTCCTACATATTAGTCGAGACAACGGCTCACTCATTAGCATCGTCTTTACTTTAACATTTTTTGGCTCTGCCGCTCTCGACACCGATGCGACGCTTCTGTCGCGACGCTGCACTCTCTGCTCGCCTGACTTAGGCGCAAGTCGTTCAAAGATACCATCCTCGTTGAGGTCTCTTAGGACACCTGCGTTACACCTTGACAGATGTACCGCCCCAGTCAAACTTAAACTTATTGCATGTATACATAACAATGCGACCGTTCTGCTAGCCCAAAAAGTGCTCAAGCCAGACGCTCGACCGAGCGCCTCCTACATATTAGTCGAGACAACGGCTCACTCATTAGCATCGTCTTTGTACTTTAACATTTTTTTGGCTCTGCCGCTCTCGACACCGATGCGACGCTTCTGTCGCGACGCTGCACTCTCTCGCTCGCCTGACTTAGGCGCAAGTCGTTCAAAGATACCATCCTTGTTGAGGTCATCTTAGGACACCTGCGTTACACCTTGACAGATGTACTGCCCCAGTCAAACTCACTCTTTGAGACAAGCATATCACTACTGGAAGGTCAACCAAATAGCTGCGAGAGCTGCGGTCGGCCCCCTCAGGCAGCCTGGCGCGCTCCTTTGCTCTACCCGAGGTTTCCATCCTCGCTGAGCTCACCTTAT